AAAAAAAAAAAATTTCCTTGCCTCAAACTCTTAATCCCCCTACCTAATTAATCAGACTTTTCTCTTTAGCGCATACCACTATATACCAGAACTTATACAAACAATTTACAGAACTTACACTATCTATTTTACTTGTCTCCCCTGTTCAGAATGCAAGCATCAGGAAGACAGGGGTTTTATGAGCTTTCTTCATTGCCATATCCTTTGCATTTAGAAAAGTGCCACAAACCCACACTAATCACTATTTCATGAATGAAAGAATGAGTGACATCTGTTAGCAAGGAATAGTAGGAAAACTTGAGGACTGTGTTTCAGAGCAGCGGGTTCTAGCCCCATGTCTACCGTTTGTAAAGCATTTGCACTTTAGTGAGTCTCTTAATCTCATGAAAGTTCTATTTTGGAGACTGGCTTCTATCGTGTGAACCCAGTCTGGGAATCCCTGAAGCAGGCTATAGAACCACACTCAGTCTAGCTGTCTCCAAATGTCCTATATATGAGGAAGACTTATAAAAAAGGCCAGCATTAAGCCACAAATAACCAAACCCTCTCTTTGCCATGGTCAAATGGATCTCTTTCTGAAACTACAATTACTTTGAAAGCTTTCAACAGTGATGAAGCATGAGCACAGTTTTTCTTCACAGAAGTGTTTAAGTCTTAGGTCAACATTTCTAATGTATAGGAATTTCCAGTTCTAGATTTAGTTTTGATCAGAAACACAAAAGTGGAATTAAAATGGTAAAGGGGAAGAAAAAAAAATAACAATTTCCAGTCTGCTCTTCTTTATCCTGAGACTAAAAATGCTGCAAACTCCTCAGAAAACTCTTTTATTACTTCTCTACCAGTTGGTAACTAGAGATACCATTTGAAACCTGTATTTCTCTACTCTCCTTAATTGCTTCCAGTATCAGGATTTATCTTTCTGATATGGAAAAATGTTTTTTTTACAGAAACTGCAGTGTTTCAGAAAAGGGAAAAATATTACCCAAAGTACTCTATTAATGAATGTTTATGAGTTTCAGTTCTGGCAATTCAAAAGACTCCTGAGATATCTATTCAGAGAGCTCAATTCAACAAGACCGACGTTTAGTTTTATAATAAACCAGGTTATTTTGTGCAAGATGTAGAACTTTCCTTCAAATGTTAACTAATTTTCCCATTCTGAACTGATCACCATGAATTAGTTTTATTTCCCATTCACAGCAAAATATCATTGAATAACATTCCTCTTCAGATCAACGCTATAAGAGGTTTCAACTTCTATCAATTTTAATTGTATTATGAAATCCCAGTTAACTGTTGGTAGAATTAAACTGTTCTAGTATAAGAGCGAGGAAAGCTTTTTCCACAGGGATAGGCAAACACCCACTGATTGATCACAGAACTTTCTTCCTTTCAGAACCTACAATACAGTCTGCTGTTCAACCCCAGATACATTTCTGGCAAATGTGGTTTTGGAAACTAGAGACAATATTTTCCAGGGGAGAAACTTAGCACAGCTCTTTTGCCATGCTATGTGAAGACAAGTATTCTGATAATATCAGGTTTAAAGATATTAATCATTGCTAGTAAGATTTTGAAGAACCTTTTCCACAATATACTAAGTGGCATTTGACACTGCAGAAAAGAAAGAAGAAAAATTAGGTCTCTGTGCTCTATTATTTTTCTGTCTTTAGAAGATGAGTTAGAATCCTCTGTGAACTCTGACACTGCACAGTCCCTGCCTCAGTAGGTGAATCATCAGGACATACATATTCTTATTACTCAGATATTTAGTTTAAAACAAATTCCATTATCTTTTGAAAACAAAAAGATCTCTTGTTTATATAAATTACTTCCATTGATTGTTGTCTCCTCAATTTTCTGTAGCACTGAGGATTTAAGGCTACATGATGGGCAATGAAATTCTGAAAGTACGTGGTTAGAAGCCATTCAAAGACTAACAGAAAAACGTTTTGTAGGTCATGGAGACAGTAAAGAGTAGGGACTAATAAGACAACCATCACTTGAAGCAAATTTGGTGATGAGTTGTGATATACAAGACAGGGAAGGTATCTAGCAGGACTCTTAGTTTCTGGCTTATAAACTTTGGTTGATAGAGATGATGAATAGATTATAGAAAAGGAGCTTATCTAGAAGGGAGCCATATTTTATATATGTATGTATGAATTTACTTGGACATACTGATTTGAAATTAGTTTGAAAAACTAGAGTGGATGTTGACCAGACAGTTGACTCGATCTGGAGATGAACACACGTGGAAATGTGAGAAACATCACTGCCACATGTCTAGTGAGCAAAACCTAAGACTGGGTGAGATTCTTGTCAATAAAAAAAAGAAAATTAAAAAAAAAATAGAAGAAGGACTGAGGAGAATTTCCAATTTTGGGTGCCCCAAAGGGGCCACCCATTTTGGTCTATTTCTGGGTAAGAGACTTTGAGTGTGGCTGTGACCATATCACACCTTTGGTCAAAAGCCTTCAGTGACTTTTTCCACAAAATAAAGGCCAAAATGTTCTGGCCAACATTATGACCCTCCATAGCCTAGCCTCAGAATGCTATTCTATCTTTATTTAAAGAATTTCCCTCAATACTCTTTTTCCTCCTAAATCAACTTCTACATGTTTCTATAAGATTTCCAACCTCTGTGACTTGGCACATAAAATTCCCTTTACATGTAATGACCATATTCACATAACCTCACCTTCTATTCATGTTTCATTTTTCTTCAAGGTCCAGATGACTTGTCCCTTCTGGCGAAATTGGCAAGGAGCCCCTTGGCCCTATCTCTTCATTCTAGTAAGTCACTTCATGCTTCTCATTGTATTGCATATGCACTCATAGTAAATATCATGTTTTGTGACATGATATGAAGAGGTAAGATGGGTAAAATGCTTACCATAAAGCCAAATACGTTGCAGGTACTCCAACATTCTCTGTTGTTTTCTCTTGTTTTTATCATACTAGACTGCCTGTGGCCTTGCATGTATACATTCCTGTAAGCAACCCACTTTTGTTGAATGAACAAAAACTTGAGTATATGAGATAATGTGATGTAGATTAAATTCCCATTGTCCAAATGATGCTTCTCTGCGTATGCATATAGAGGCCTTTACAGGCTTGTTCCAAGTTTTTTGTAGGAGCCTTTAAGAAAGTGGACAAAGGAAAACTGAGAGAGCTATATTCTTGTCATTGCTTTCATCTCAGACAAGTCAGTTAACTACCTTGATTTTATTCTTCTCATTTCTAAATGAAGATCATGATACTTTCCATCCCCATTCATCAAATTATTGTATCTCCGTATGATGAAGTTATAAAAGGTATTTGAAAAATTTAAATTTCTATCCATATTTTAGATCATTTGGGTTTCTTGTGGGTTGTGATCATATGAAAGAGTTCCACTGAGGACTTTAATCTTAAAATGATAGAATAAATTTTGTATTGGGATGAAAAGGCATTTTTTTTTTTTTGTAAAGAGATGCATGAAGAATGTTGTAAGATAAAAAGAAAATCAATGAATTAATAGAAAATCAATAGTTGTGCTAGATATTTTTCTCTTCTTTTGAGATCTCCTCAGTCTCTGCCCTGTTTTGAATTGCAGGAGGTTGACCTCAGTGGGCTCTCTTCCCTTTAGGCCGTTGGTTGAGTCTGGCCAATGGGAGGCCAATGGGAGATCATTGGAGAACAAGAGCAGAGTGGATCTGGGACTTTATTTGCCATGTCTTTCCCTGCTGGGTTGAAGTTTGGCTGTGTCTCTCTTTTGAAAGAGGCAGTTCTTGCTGAGAAGGATTTTTCCTACAGCTACTCTCTAGTTATTGTTCCCTAATCTTGCCCCTGAGGTTTAGGGATGGTAACCCTGCTTCACTGTTTCCTGGTTTCCTGATTGTTTTACACTTTTTTTCCCCCCACATATTTATAAATATCCATTCTGCTCTCTCTACACTTTTGTGGTTTAGTGGGCAGCTTTTGGGCCAGACTGTAATTGATACAATGTCAAAGTAAGATTATTTTTTTATTTCTTTGCCTGTAAACACATAGCCATACAATTGCCATTGCCCTTACATGCACACATTCATGAAACATAGCTTTCATAACAATTCTATGATAAAAAAGATAACATGTGAGGAAAGCTTGATTATTCTAGAAATATGTAGCCTGGAAAAGAGCAACTATCTTCAAATATTCTGAAATCTGCCACTTTGGGAAAAATGAGTAGAGTTGTTCTGTTTGCCCTTAACTATTAGTAATAAACCATATCTTTTTAAAAAAATAGACATTTTTTAAAAGATTTTATTTATTTATTTATTAGAGAGAGAGAGAGAGATGGAGAGAGCGAGCATGAGCAAGGGGGAGGAGCAGAGGGAGAGGGATAAGCAGATTCTGCACTGAGCACAGAGCCCGTGTTGGGGCTCAATCCCACGACCCTGAGATCATGACCTGAGCCAAAATCAAGAGTTGAACACTTAACCAACTGAGCCACCCAGGCACCCCAAGAAAACAGATACCATTTTTGATGAAAAGAACAATCTTCTAAAAAATAAAGAAGTCAAAAATATGCCTGACCTCCTCACAGTTGGTGAGTTCATTCTCCCTGAAGGTATTTAAAGAGGATCTAAGTATCCATTTCTATGATTGAGAGACTTTATTTTGGTGGGAAACTGAACAAAATAACCACAAAGTATTTTTGGACTTAAATGATTCTATGAATAACTCATATGGCTAACCCAGATAGCAGAAGTAATAATTAGAGACACATGTAACTGTGTTTGTAAAATGGATACTTTATATATATCATATACGGGAATATTTTATTTTTTTTAAAGATTTTATTTATTTATTTGACAGAGAGAGAGACAGTGAGAGAGGGGACACAAGCAGGGGCAGAGGAAGAAGGAGAACCGGACTCCCCGCTGAGCAAGGAGCCCAATGTGGGACTCTATCCCAGGACCCTAGGATCATGACCCGAGCCGAAGGCAGATGCTTAATGATTGAGCCACCCAGGCGCCCATATAGGGGAATATTTTAAACATGAGTTCACAATCTGGCTGTTACTCTACATCTGAGAGCTGTTCTCAAAGTAGTCTGTAAACTAAAATCAAATGAAATTGGAACAATTTTTACCATCCTGTTATTTATGTTTCTATGGTTAAAATTCCAGAGATACAGTACAAATACCCCTGTGTCTGAGATGTTCATTTTCATTCAAATTTTTGGCATCACAAAGTTTTATTCATGATCTTCTTGCTGCCTTCACTGAGGTTCAGAGTGTTCCTCCTTCCTTCCCTTATGTAAGAAGTCCTATTTGCTGCATACCTACTCCTATGAAAATGACAATATTTCACATGTAAGCAGAATGTGGATGTGCCTCACTTCAAGAATTGGGCATATTTTGAAATGGAAATATGAGATAAAAATTGAATTTACCTATATTAAATCTTATTTTAAAATGGAGGAGAAAGTGTATTATATTGAAAGTAAATATATTAAAAAAGACTCAATTTAAATATTTTTATTGAGGAAAAAGTATTATCCTTTTTATATTTCTCCTATATCATTATTCAATTTAATACAGAGTTATGTTAAAGAGAATGAATATAACTTAGAGTGGATTTAAAAATCATTCTCACTTACTCATACTCCTGTGCAGTTGTAGATCAGTGTGCTTTGTAGAAATTCTAGAACTCTAACTGCATCCCAGGACCATTTATAAATATTAACTCACTAGTGAAACTACTAAGAAAACCAAATAACCAAACAACACTTGGTGGTGTTGTTACATAAAGTTAAATAGTTGCACAAATTTGTGGACCTTTTTAATTTTAGACTTGAAGCAAGAAGGACAGCAGAATCTTAGTTTGCCTTCAACACCAGCATTTTCCATTTAATATTCTCTGTGAAGTAGTCTTCATCAAATGTCCTTCCAGAATTAATTTTTTAAGCTCATATTAGACCATTGTATATCAATTCATGGACAGCTTGCTCAGTTAGATACTCTTGGACTTAATTCAAGATCTTCAAGACACATAACTAGTCCAGAGATCTCACTTTATAGTTGAAGAAACTTCATCCCAGAAAGCTTCCATAAATTGCCCAACATTCTACAACAAACTAGAGGGGAACCAGGTCTTCAGTGGGTTCCCAGAGTTTGTTGCTTTGAGGTATGTATGCTAGCACCTGGAGTTAGAGTAGAATGATGTGACTTTTGGTAAAACTTTTTTTCCTTTTTTTTCTTTCCCTTTCTAAAAATTTATTTATTTATTTATTTGGGGGGGGGGAAGGGTGGAGGGAGAGGGAGAGAGAGGATCTTAAGCAGACTCCACTCTCAGTGCATATGGGGCTCGATCTCACGACCCTGAGATCATGACCTGAGCCTAAACCAAGAGTCAGATGCTTAACTGACTGAGCCACCCAGGTGCTCCAAAACTTTTTTTTCTTGAGCATCTTTATTGAGGTATATTTTAAACATCATAAAATTCACACTATTCAAGTGTACAATTCAATAATTTTGGTAAATGTACAAGTAGTATCACTATAAAACAGCTTTAGAAAAATTTCCTCACACTAATATGATTCCTCATGCTCATTTATAGGTAATTATCATCCCCACTCCAGACCCAAGCAACCATTAGTCTACTTTCTGGTGTATAAAATTTTTGGCAAGACCATTTCCTTGACCTTGAGTTTATTCAACACTAAAGTAGGGTTAGTGATATGGTACTATGAAAAGCAAAGTAAATAATATTTGATATGATGAAAGCACAAAAAATATTTTAGAAGTTAGTAGTAACATTAATATATTCATTGGCATCTTTCCCAATAGAACACAGGAAATTATAAGAAATGGAGATCACATGCCTATATTGGCATTAAGGTCAAGGCCAGAGTTCAAATTCAAATCAATCCGTTCTTATGCTACACTTTACCAACTAAAGCCAAATGGACTGTGAGATCTTTTCATATTTCCCAGCTTCTGCTTCACCCCCAGTGTGTTCCAAATGCTATCTTTGACATTAGGCCTCAGGAAGTGATGAATCAGTTGAATCCTCATCTTTTGGCCTGAGAACACCTGTTAATGGAGCCAATTAAGGCAAAGGATGACAGAGATTTGGAGGGGATGCTGACACTTGTCCAGAAGGAGCTGTGCTGAGACTGCCCATTGAAGTCCTAAATAAACCACCAAACAGCTGTCGAAGGGTAAGGATTTTGAAGGTCTTGGCCCAAGCCAGACTTTAGTAAACAGTAATGAAGTCAATGCCTTTGGATCCTGTGGTTGAAGAAATGTGTCTTCCTGGATATGGAGACATCAAAGCAAAGGATTGCTATTGTCATCTTGCATCTGAGAAGAATCTACTAAAAATATCTATTATCTCCATTCAAAACACCTCTGCATTCCACAGTGAGTCAGGTGAGAGGGATGAGAGGAGTCTGTAGTCGATGTGCTCATTTCAGCCAGAATAACTAATAACATGTTTGGAATCCAGTAGCACTTCACTGCTTTGGAAGTAGGACTGGGGGCACCTTGAATTTTTTCTCCACATTGATTAATTGGAGCCAACTCAAGGTATGTACAAGTTTCCAAGTTTTCAACATTAATCACATAAATGAAGTGAAAATAATTAGTTCATGGTGACTTTCTGACTTATAATAATAAGCCCCAACTTAAATATACTTAGTCCAGACAGCTAAATATAACACGGAAAAAAAGGAAACAAACAATTCAAAACCTCCAGGCATTTTGTGTGTGTGTGTGTGTAGCTCTCCTAGTAATTAACAGAGGGGTCTGTTTAATTGGCACACTT